GTAAATGTATGTCTGACAGAAGGCAAGAGGCAAAGATTGAGTCTGTAGTGTGATCCCCTAGAGTAACTGTTTCTGGACAAAATAGTCCGTTGAAGAGATTGTAGACAGAAAAAGATGAAGCCTTTTTCCTACCTTTAGTGCTGTGATTATAAAAGAGAAACGGTGTTCCTGGGGCTGTAGGAAGCCACAGTCAGGGGGAAGAGACAGTCCCTCTTGACCTTGAGAGCTGACTTAGTGAGCTCTTAAGAGTCAACAGCAGCAAAAGGAGGCTGCCTGCCACAGAGACCTGTCAAGCTGATCGGGGCTTGGGAATGAGTCCCGGGGCTTTTGCCGTTGGACGTGGGAGAGCGCAAAGAAGAAAGAACAAGCTTTAGCTAAAGATGGAAAGAGTTAAAGTCTAAAGAGAAAATGCACTTAATATGTATCCAGGTGTTTATGAAGATTTGTTGGTATTAGGTTATATCTACCTAGACACAAAACAACTGGAGTAAGTACATGTTTTGCTTATTTAAAAAATTCTATTTTTCTAGAAAAGGCAATATTGAAAGGAATGTCTGCTAAGCAGGAATTAATCAGGTTGTTTTGAGGGGGGCGACAGACAGAGGAGGGGCTGTGGGAGACAGCATTCCGGGCAGGAGCAGTAGGTGCAGGGGGCCTGGCGGGCAGAGAGAGCACTCGTGCTCAGGGACCCTCCGGGGAGTTCAGCTTGGCTGGAGCTCGCAGAGAGCAACAGGAGAGGAGTCTGGAGCCAGGGCAGTGGCTGGTCACGAAGGGCTTCGTACACAGTGAGATGGGGTGGACCAGGAGAAGGCCGGGGTTGTGGGAGAGGAGTGCAGCTTTTGGACATGTGGAAATGTCAGTAGGTGCCTGGATAAATGGTTCTGGAGTTCAGGAGAGAAAGCCAGCTTGGAGATTATTTGGAGATAGTCAGTTTAGAGGTAGTAATTGAGGCCCCAGAAGCAGAGGAGAGTGCCCTGTGCTGACTGAGGGTGAGGGAAGAGGGCCAAGATAGGGCTTTGAGAAATACACTTAAGGCCAACGGGGAAGGAAAACCCAGAAAAGGGAGGGAGGAGAAGTAGCCAGAGGCAGAAACAAACCAGGAGAGCGAGGTGGAAAGGGGCTCTGGGAGAGCACCTCAAGATCGCAGGGCATGGCTCACGGCGCTAAAGCCCCCGGCCCAGTGGTGACTTGGCGGGGGGGGGAGGGGAGGAGGGGGGGCATGCAGCTGTTGTGGTTGCGCAGGCTCTGGAGGCCAGGACTGTTCCTCCTCAGGAGGAGAGGGGGAGCTTGTTGTGGGGACTGGTGGGATCTGGGCGCGTGCAGTCAAGAGATTTCTTGAACAATGACCACCATTTTCTCTCTGAGGGTGAGAGACAAGATGGTGGGGTAAGAGACCTGAGGAGAATGGGGGAGTCTGAAATACTACCCGTGCAGAAGGCAAGAGACTGATTTCAAAACGATGGACTGAGCACATGTGCCATATTAAAAAAAAAAAAAAAAAAAACAAAGCAAAGCAAAAATGGAGGGAAAATATTAAAAAAGAAAACAAACTCATAGGGGACCAGAGATCTGTGGAATCTTTAAGAGAAGGAAACCAGACCAGAAGCCATAGCAGGAGGCAGGGGCTGCAGCAGAACTGCTCACATCTAGGCTGAATGCAGAATTCACTCACTCAGCAAATAGTGACCACAGGCCTACTATGCGCCAGACACTGTCCTAGGTGCTGGTTGCTAGTTTCTGCTGCAAAAGACGAGCACAAACCGAGAACAGGAGGAGGGGCTACTGGAAAAATAGAGAAGGCTTCCCCTGGCTCACTGGAGAGTAGATGCCAGAAATCTCTAGAGGCACCAATCTGAACAGCTTGTGATTCTCCCTCAGCAAACCTAAGTGTAAGAGCAGAACTGGACTGACCTTGATTTGGAGTTCTGCTGAATGGGGACAATGGAAGGCTAACAGGGCCAAGGGGCGTGATGATATTGCAAGACAGCAACTCAGCCAGTTATTTCAGAGCAGATTTGCAAATTACACGTGTGATCTAATTAGACTAACCGGTCAGCAGCCCCCACAGAGGACAGAAGTAACACCTGCCTCCTAGGTGAACCGTGTTTTAAGACGGATAAGATAGAGATCTTATTAGGATGCGGGTGCAGACTCAGCGGGGCTGGGTGGGGCCCGAGACTATGCATTTCTAACCAGCTCCCAGGTAGAGATGGTGCTGTGGGTTCGCAGACCACTCTTTGAATAGCAAGGTCTTAAAAGGTTTTGCTTTACTTTGGGGGGATGGCTAACTTGCCCATGGTACAGCTTACTGGTGAGGAGCTGGAGCCAGCTGATGGCGACATTTTCAGGAATTCAGCTAGCCAACTGACACCGTGTTGATGGCTTGAAATTGGCCGTAATGCGAGTTTTTATACTATAGAAATGTCCAAATGCTACCAAGCAGGGCCTTCCTGCTTCCCTCTGGAGAGCTGGTTGGTAAACAATTCCCAGACGTCACTGCAAAGCCTGTATAATAGTGGGGCATGCTCTAGAGTGGAGTTTGGTGTTGGGGGTCACGAGAGCATGCTCCATTCAGACCTCGATAAAGAGGCCATCGGTCGTGGTTGCGGGACTACACAGGGTGCCTGATGGAAGGCGCTACAGGACTGACTTTCTCGGCTGCCTCGGAGTACCTGACACAGGCAAACACGTAATGTCACCTTATCTGTAGGTCCTGTGAGCCACCGAGAGGAGCAGGGTGGTGGGGAGATAAGAGAGGGACGGGCTGCTAAGGCAAAGGGTGGCTTGCTGGAAACTCGCATCCAAATCACACCGCCTGTCCCAGGCCATTTCTGGGTGTGCTGGGCTGCCCCTCCGAGGCCCTGGGCCACACCAAGAAGCCTGGCACTTCAACTGGAGTTGCACAATGGGACAAGTGATTCTCAGCAATGGCAGAGGGGAAATGAGTTAATTTCCATAATATCTGCTTTACTTATTGACCTTTAAAATAGAGGTAGATTTTTAAAAATTGATACATTTAATATGGTCAGAAAACCCCAAATGAAACCCTTTTGGTGACAGTTTGGGGAGGAAAATGAAATCCCTCTGCTCAAGAAGGGCATCTCTTATTTTCTGACCTGTGGGTCATGCAGTTTTAATTTCCTCTCTCATCTCTTCTTCTTCTTTTTTTAATTTCACAAACCTGCTTAAGGCCACAAAGACACTCCGGAATCCCCCAGCTGTCTGGCCGATGAACTGCTGCCGGGTTTGTTCAGGCTACTGTTTGTGCCAGGCTGAAGTTCTCCAGCTCTGGCCCAGCGGACCTTTACATCTGTTTGCTGGCTGACACTGACGGGCTCCAAGGGCTGTCTGAGGGGAGCTGCCCCAGAGCTGCGTGAGCCCCAGCGAGGGCAGCTCCTGGGGAGTCTGGCGACACCAGGCCCTGGGGCATGTGGCAGGGGCTGGCAGGGGCCCCAGGGGGGCAGGGGGAAGGTGGTGCTGGGGGGAGTTGCAGAAAGGGAAAAGCTTCCCCCCTTCCGCCAGCTTCCGAGGAAAGTGGGCTCAGAGCCCGCCTCATCTGCAGAACAGTGGCACGGTGGGCTACCATCCCCGAGTTGGAGGACTGGATGACGGGGACAGTGGTGGCGTGCACACGTCTGCGCATGTGTGTGCACGCGGGAAGGGGGCATGACTGGTCGCCGCTTCCAAGGGCCACATCTCCTCTCTCTCCAGGGAAGCAGGGGGTGTGGAAGGGGGCTGGCCCTCAGAGAGGGCTGTCCCCTGCGGCCTGGTGAGGCACTTCTCTATCCCCAGGCCCACTCCTTCTCTCCCCTTCTTGAGTCCATTCTGTCCATTTGCAGGGTACCGCGCAAGCACCGTGGGCGGGCCCAGAGCTAGCGCTGCACAGGAACACGAGGACTGAATGGGAGGGAAGAAGAGAGGGAAGGGCTTAAGTGCCAACTAGCTACGGGACGGGGAGGGTCCACACGGAAGTGAGACGGACGTGTGATGACGTCAGGCAGTTCAAGTCCTGCCCCAAGGGCTTGCCTCTCTAAATCTTGCTGGCCCTGATTTCCTGCCCCAGGTTGTAAGTTTCTCCTCGCCGGGATCCTCTTTCCGGGTAGGCCGGTGCAGCGGGGGCGGTAACGTTCACAGTAAAGAACCGGTCGCCGGTCTATAGAGGCCTCGGGCAAGCGAGAGCGGGAAGGCCCACGGCCAGGATCTGCTCGACCCAGCAGGAAGTTCCTGTCGACCTCAGGAAGTGGGGAAGAGGCCTGCTGGGCGGTCTTTCTCGGGCCTAAAAGCTGGGCTAGAGCATGCACAGAGATGGAGGAGGAGGAGGTGCTTCGGGGAAGAGGAGGCAGAGGCTGTACTGTAACTGCGTGGAGATGGAAGAATCGTGGTCTTTCCTAACTGCATGCTGTGTGTGTGTCGTGCACATGTACGCTGCTTGCTGGGGCAGGGCTCACCCATCTTCTAAGGACGTCTTCTGACTGCTCTAGGATTCGAGAAGCTGCCCGGGCTCCGGCGGCTGGGCCCTCTCACAGGCGGGAGTGCAGGGGCAAAGGCAGCAGGAGAAAAAGCAGCCTGAGGGCTCAAACCAGCCCTGCCTGCTTCCCGCTTGCTCCCTCCAGGCCGGCAGGCCCCACTGATGCTTGCTAATCCACACAGCCTCAGGCGTGCAGGAGATCTGCTGCCTCCACGCTCCGAGCCTTAGGGCTGCCAAGGTTGTCCCTTCCCTTGGAGAAGGTGTCCTTTCGGCAGCCGCATATACGACACAGTTGCGCTTATCACCGCATTTTTACATGTGTTATTCCACGTAGGAGGGGTCACCGGGGCCCGGTGCACTCCTTCACACAGGGCTCTCCCATACCAGAGACTTCCAAACTGAGGGCAGTCAGAGTGCGAACCAAAGAAACACACGGTTAGAACAAACGGACACCGTCTCCCGCCAGAGAAGGCCTACGCCCACACGGGCCCGTCCTGACCGCGTCAGGCTGGAAGTGTGAGGCCACCTTTACCTGTTCCGGATCCCACCACGTCCCGGCTCGGCGACTCGGCCATGGCATCCGCGAGCCGCTCCCGCAGGCCTTCCTCTGTGTGCTCCATGGAGGACATGTGCCGCAGCCCAAAGCCCTCGGGCCAGCTCCCACACACCTCCAGCAGGGTCACGCTCCGGTCAAAGGTACCTGCGGCACACACGGGACATCGACCTTGAGTCCGTGCTTTGAGAGAGCGGCCCGTTCTTCTGTGCACCCACCACCAGCTCTCCCCACCCTACCCGCACCCCGCGGGGTCCCCTTCAGCGCTTCTCCAGGCTGGACGCAGGAGACACCACCACGACACCCGGGTGGGAAGGCAGAATGAAGCAGTGCGTGCCACGGGATCAGACAGGGTAGGCTTCCAGAAAAAAGACCTCAGAAGTAGGTCAAGGGCAGAGCACCTCCTTGCCAGGTTCAGCCCAAACACCTCTACTTTTCTTTCTTTGAGGCAATAGGGCTTCCCTAACAGTTCATTTAAAAAAGGGGCTACGGGGCTTTTAAAGCTTCAGAAAAGTTTTCCATACCAGTCCATCCTCTGTAGCAAACCTCCTCGTGTTACATCTGAGGCTCAGAGAAGTTACGACCCAAGATCCAGCAGCGGGTTTGTGACAGACCTGGTTCAAGAACTCCTATCACCTGATGCCTCAATCTAGAGCTCGTTCTACTCTGCCGCACGCAGTCCCCTAGCTGCCCAAGGACAGACGGACAACGGGGGCACCATTTGGGGGATGCCAGCAACAGCACTGGGTGATAGAATCTTCAGCAAAAATTGTTCCTTAACCCGAAGCCGCTCTCCAATTCCAAGACGTACATGGCACTCTGCTCAGTGCCAAGATGAAATCTTACATGCAAGATCACTTCAAAGTCTAAATTTAAATTATTCTCCTCTATTATACAGCAAGTCTTCTGTGAAAGCTTATTTCGTCTACTCTCTCTTGGAAGGAGATTATCGTCATGCTCTGTTGCTTTAAGCACATACCATTTTCCCAGTGATTGGGTAACTGAATCCACTGCATTTATTGGGCTAGGTTCCTGCCAGCACCAGGAAGATGGGGAAAAAATGCAAATGCCAGTGTTTCCTGAAGTTAAAAGTACGCGCAACACACACTTTTTATCAGGCCTTGCTTCTCCTCTTTGATCAGCCGTCAGAAACTATCTTCCCTAGGCGGTCAGGACTGGGCAACGTCAGCACACACTCTCTGCCAATGACAGGTGGTAATAGAGAGGGTGCGAGCCCCAGCCCCGGCGGGCGGCCCTGCCTCTGATTATGGCCAAAGCACTGAGGTGATAACCGTTAGTAAACACTCCGACAGCCGGTGACTCCATACATCAGCAAAGAGGGCCAGATAATCCTGAGCTCTTCGGACCAGACAAAGGCCCTTGGCCCGCCCGCTGGGATTTATATGTGTGGCAAGGGTCACCACCGGCTCCTGAATGTCATCAGCCAAGTTTGGCTTTGATTTATCTCTTGCCTAATTGTGGGGTGGATTCCTGGTGCCGGGAGGATGGGTAACATCTATAAATGTATCTCCCCAAGAGAGGGAGGCCCACCTTGGGACTGGGTTGCTGGTTGCGTCGGCTTGTCAGGTGGGACCCAGGAACGGGGAGCTGCCTGATACCACCTTCTCTCTTCATCAAGTAGGGTCAGGATGGATCTGGGGAGCCAGGCGCTGGTAGTGGGGGTGGGGCGCTCAAGCGTCAGCCCTCCAAGGGCCTCAACCGGGCAGCCCCGCCTTGGCAGTACCAAGCCCAGAGCCAACCCGAGACCAGCATTAGCAACAACTCAAAGGTGCCCAGGCCCTAAGGACACACAGGGACTAATGACATAAGCTAAGCTTTTGATTCCACTCCCCACTCACTAAGTGATGTTAGGCAAGTCCCTCTATCTCCTTTTTCCATCTCTGAAGTAGAACTAATAAGCCTGCCTCGAAGGAATGAAAGATTAAGCCAGGTTCCTGCCCGGAGCCTGTGTTCTCCTTCGGTGCTGCCCCACTCTTAACCGACAAGATCAAGAGCTGTAGCATCATGGTGACTCTGAAGAGTCTGCCTGGGACATGTACGCCTGGTGATTGCCAGATGAGGGAATTAGTAATGAAACATGGACACTCCTCCCCCTTGTACCCTCAGGGCTGCCGTGGCAGCTTTCTTATGGACAGACATGTCTCAGAGTCTGCCTCAAGAGCGGGGACGCCCTTACCTTCTGTCACTTCACAAGAGCAGTGTGCCTGCCCCTAAAAGGTGCTCAGTCAGAGTTAGTACACGCCGCTCTTAGAGGTCAGGGCAGCTAAGCAGATAGCGGGGCCAAGAGGAAGAAGAAAACAACATAAGCCAGCAAGATGTTACGACAAGAAGGGTTCAGGTAAGAGGGTGGGCCTGGCCTACAACAGACAGCAAAGGCCAGCGGAGCATGTGGTATTTTAGGGACAAAACAACAGCAGACAGGAGAAAAAGAAATCATGAGCTGGTGGAGAATGGAAATAGAGCTGGACTGAAATGTAGGCTCTCAACACATATTAACTCGTGGGTCTGGGCAAGTTCTTTACCTTTCTGAGCCTCTGATTCCGCATCCATAAAAATGGAAAACCAATACAACCCTATAGGGTTGTTGTGATAATTGCACTAGATAAATACACAATCAATCCCCTGGCACATAATGGGTGTGCTCTTGTATATGTTAATAATAGCAAATACGTACAACTTTATACCATTGGAAGCATGATCATAAATGTTGACGATCACAACAATCCTGAGAGGTAGAGTAGGTACTACCTCCAATTATTATGGGAGAGGAGCTGGAAGCTCAGAGAGAGTAAACGGCAGGCTCGAAGTCTCTAAGTGACAGGCCCCTAATTCTTAGCTTGGAGTTCGTTCTATTGGTTTACACTTTGCTTCTCCTGGCTGCATCTGCAGTGGAGAATTGTTATTTTTTTTTAAATTTAATTCATTAACATACTATGTATTATGAGTTTCAGAGGTAGAGGTCAGTGATTCATCAGTCTTATATGATACCCAGTGCTCATTACATCACGTGCCCTCCTTAATGCCCATCACCCAGTTACCCCATCCCCCCACCTCCCTCCCCTCCAGCAACCCTCAGTTTGTTTCCTAGAGTTACGTGTCTCTTACGGTTTGTCTCCTTCTCTGATTTCATCCTACTTTATTTTTCCATCCCTTCCAGTGGAGAACTGTTATAGGGAGAAATCACCTTTATCTTTCCTAACTTATTCTGCGGACTCTTGTCACCTTCAACCGATACCTTTAAAAAGTCTTTCCCACTCCCCACCAGCCCAGCTTCCTTGGAGTATCACCATAATGCTGATGAGTCTCCTGTCTGTTGGATGGCACACGGGAGGGAAAAAACACTGATGGAAGATCTAATCTGTTCTCTCTTCACATGGGCATTGCTAGGAGGGTGCAGGTAGGAGGCTGGGGATACAAACAGTGTCCGGCAGGGGAGCACTGGATCGTCTCTACTGTCCTGAGAAGTCACAGAGAGGACCTATTGTGCTGGAAGGATCCCCCCAGAGGCTCTGCAGTGCCCCCTTCCTTGTCCTTGCCTTCCACCCCTGCCAGTGCAGATGAGGACAGCAAAGGAGCTCATGGACTGTCCCGGGCCCAGAGTGAGAGAGCTGCAGGCGTGTGCGTGTCAGCAAGGGCTGGGGTTAAGAGGCCAAGCCCTTGGACAATGAGGTCACCTCTGCGCTCTTAGGCGACTGTACATCGTGCCAATGTTGTCTGCACGGCTATCATTCACCGGGTCGGCCCCGAGACACTCCACCAGATGAGCCGGCCCTCTGAGTCCCATTACGGGAGACAGGGTCAGTTTCAAGGGGAGAAGACACTTAGCGCAGGCTGTTTGCAAAGCACAAAATATACGTACTTAGATCTTTTGCTGAAGCAATGCTCTGCGGGTTGCAAAGCCCCCTCATATTATTTCAATTAACTCACACGTTCCTCAAATATTGATTAGCGTCCACTATGATATGAGTCAAGCATGGCACTGAGATACAGAGTGAGCCCCCCCCCCAAAAAAGTTCATGGTCCTTCACAACACTCTGGGAAGCAGCAATGGTCACCATTTTACAGATCTGTATTTTACTGAGGCTGAGGGAGAGAGGTGAGGTAACTGAAGGGCACGGGTTTAGGTGTGACAGTCTTGCTCTGAGGCTTCTTGGGAGCCCCTTCCTTTAGGCTGCCTCCCACCTTATTCTCTGCACAGCATTTTCTAAGATTTGGTTCAAGTCTCACCTGCTCGGTGAAACCCTGAGTGACCACGCAGGTTATAATGAGAGCTGTTCCAGAAAGTCTGTTTGCACGGCAGGTTCTTTACCTTTCAGGTGAAGCTGATTAAAGTTCTGAACTTGCCCGAAAAATGTATGTTTGCATACATAAAATTATGTAAGCAATTTCATAGAACGTTGTAAAGCAATTATGGTTCTGTATGGTTCTCTGAAGTCCATCTTCAGATCCCAGGTTAATGAGATCAGTTCCATGGGGTCATTCCCATCCTGCCTTGTGTTATTCTCATGATCTGCTCTCCAACCTAGTGTAGAAGCTCCTCGAGGGCATGGATTCCTCCATAATCCATCAGTCTGTAATAAGTACAGGACTTTGTGCATCATGCTTACTCAAAATATGTTTGCTTATTAACTGATTAGGACCATCTAAGAAATCAGACAGTCGCTTTGGAGTCAATACCCTTTGGGTAGGATCCCGGCGCCTAAACATCTAGGGCCAGGATTGGGAGGAATGAGCTGGATGTAGGCAGAAAAGGGAGCTAAAATTAAATAAGAGGAAGGAAGGAGGTTATAAGTGAGCAGAAAACAATGTCACGGTATCACTCTGCTGCCTTCTGTGCATTTATTTTAGATTGGAGACCCCGGGAACTGGAAGAACCGAACCACCTGCCTTGGATGGCACAGAGAGCCAGGCTCATACAGGTGAGCTTCCCGAATCCTGCTTTCCAGCTTGGCATCCTATGTTACACTCTTTCCCCAGAGGAGAAATGGGTCAGGTTCTTGGGTTTCACAAACCCATTAAAGACATGCTGTGACAGCTGGTAAGCCTGCAGCTCCTGGGGAGCCTAGGGGAACACGTGCTCTGTCTTTTGTATACCATTGTTGAGGGGCAACGGAGCCTGAGGGAAAGAGGGGGCATGGGGGAGGTGGGGTGTTCCTCCGAGCTGATAGTGTCTAATCACACCCTAGCTATTTAGGAGACTGTGGCACAGCCTTCCCTGTGCCTCAATTAGGTTTAGCCCAGGACTTGGACTTCGATGACAGCCTGCTGATCAGATTTCCAGCCACTTGCGAGGCCAGGTAGCAGGAGCAAAACTCGTCATTAGACACAAGCCCTTCTGGGTGAGAGCTCACGACAATAATCACGTCCACGAGAGCTAAGAAATGATTCCAGGCAGGATGGAAGACACCACCGGAGAGCCTCCTTGCCTGTTCTCCAAACTAGCTCACTCAACAGAGCTGGGGACTAGTACTGTGGGGGAGAGCTCCTCTGCATTCCAGGCTGGTTCACATTAGCACAGGCTGAGGACATTAGCTTTACTTGGTTACCCGGATGTGGCCACAGGCATATTTCACTATGTCAATATGCACTACGTTGTGACTAACGGAGATTGGTTCGCTGTGGGAAGGTGAGAGAATATGAGGAGCCTGTCTGCCCCTTTCAGTCCCTTAGGGTGGTTCCCAAGGTAACCATGATCCCACGCCCACAGACATGGTATACAGCAAAGGGGCCTAGACCCCGGCAGTCTTTTATGACTCAGATTATCTAATGGTCACCAAACTTGTGACAGTGTGCCACCTTTATCCCATATTCATCCATTTGGCTGTGGGGTTTGGGTTTTGGGGTTAAGTCATTTTTATTTTTCAAATTAAATTAAATTAATTACTTTTTTTAAAAAAAGATTTTATTATTTATTTGACAGAGAGAGAGGCAGAGAGAGAGGGAATACAAGCAGGGGGAGTGGGAGAGGGAGAAGCAGGCTTCCCGCCAGCGTGGAGCCCAGTGCAGGGCCTGAACTCACGACCCTGAGATCAAGATGTGAGTGGAGATCAAGAGTTGGATGCTCAATCGACTGAGCCACCCAGGTGCCCTGGGGTTAGGTCATTTTAAAGGATTTGGTACTCCGCTGGGGCGCCTGGCTGGCTTAGTCGGAAGAGCATGCAACTCTTGATCTCAGTGTCGAGAGTCTGAGCCCTGTGTTGGGTTTAGAGATGACTTAATATATAAAACATGAAAAAAAAAAGGGAGGGATTTGCTCCTCCAGGTAAGAAGTAAATTGAGTAAGGAAAGGTACCAGCAGCAGAGAAATGCCTTCGCTAATGTTGGCAAGCCAGGAGATGCTGACGTGCCAGATGTGATGATGTTATGGCACATCTGTTCTCATAGGCCCTTGGGGCCATGGCTGGGAAGGGATTATTCATCATTCATCATAGGTCCACGAATAGACCGCCCTGTGTGGCCAACATATCAAGGGGTCCTAAGCCAGAGCAGAGGAGTCAACAGTAACTGAGACACCAAGATTTCTTTACAATTTAACAGAAGAGTTGTTTTGGCAACTGCTTTCACAAGTGCAGTGTATGATCACAACTCATACTTTAAAGAGGAGGAGACAGATCACAACTCAAGATACCAAGGTTATAACTGGACTTCTCCCATTAACTTTTCTGGCCACTCCAGGTCTTAATTTCCCCACTTACCACATGGACAGGAAATGAGTGACTCCCACATAAGAGGTTCATCACACCAGCATGAATAGTTTCAAATGTAATTAATAATAAATACACTAACAGAGTAATGGTGAGATGATGTTTGATGTATCCAAAGGTAAAAGGTACCATATTTCATTTTCCACGAACCAGAAAACATAATTAAGCATTCATACCATACGTGGTTTTCTTTGTTGTTGTTGTTTTTTCTTACTTAAAGGTATATGATAAGCAGAAGACCTGGGTTCACATGCCATCTCCTGCTATTTTCTCACTGTATGACCTTGGGAAAATCATTTGGCCTCTTTGGACCTTGGTTCCTTTACCTGCCATAGTGGGCTGAATCGCATTTCCTCCCAAAATACGCTCACCTCAGAATGGGACCTTCTTTGGAAATAGGGTCTTTGCAGATATAATTAAGGATCCAAGATGAGAGCATCCTAGAGTTAGGGTGAGTCCTAAATCCAGTGACTGGTATCCTTATGACAGAAAGGAGAGGGAGGTCATAGAGCGAGAAGGCGGCCATGTGAAGACAGGCAGAGACTGGACTTATGCTGTGACAAGATGAGGAATGCCAGGAGCCACCGGAAGCTGGAAGCAGTAAGGAAGGATGTGCCCCTAGAACCTTCGGAGGGAGTGTGACCTTGCTGACAACTTAACTTTGAACTTCTGGCCTCCAGAAATCCGAGAGAGTAAAATTCTGTTGTTTCCAGTCACCAGGGCTGTGGTAATTTAGTATGGCAGCCCTAGGAAAGGAAGACACTTACAGAACAGGGAAATGAATATCTGCCTTCCAGGCTGTCGTGAGCATCAAAGCTGCACAGGGCCACCCGAACCCAGAGGACTGCCTACCATGGGACTATGTGAGCAGCTCTTCAGAGGGGCACTAGGATTCTGTGAAAGGCTTAGAAAGTGAAGACGGTGGTCTGGGGACACCTCTAGGCCGGAAGGCAAGGGCTAGATGAGAGACACTGGTGTGGGAACTCCATTAGTAAAACTGAGTGGTTCTGTGTGGGCCCTTGATGGGGATTCCCAGCACAGAAGTGGGTGTGTGGCCCCCACTTCCCTGAGGAGGCCTGCAGGGGGCACAGGAGGGCAGGGCAGGTGGCTCTTAGCTCCCAGGTTAGCTCCCTTCCGGCCTCATGATCTCCTTACCTCTCCCTACATCTGCGGGGGATGTTTTGGCTCCTGAATTCTTTAATAAATAAACAGGATCATACTCAACATGGGTAAGGATAAAATGAGATGGACTGTTGCTGGTGGGGAATATTATTGTTAAAAACTACCTGAAGGGCAATTTGGCAGTTTGTACTAAGAGCCATTTAAAAACATGTCCAACCACTGATCTAGGGATCCACCTCCAGAATTCTAGCCCAAGTAAATAAGACGCCAATAAACCTTCATGCATAAAGATGCCCCTTGCCACTTTAACACTGCCTTAAAATAGGGTATTTGTGAGGTAAAGCATACTTCCTTCTTGCAGTAGAATATTAGGTGGTCATGAAAAATCATTATTATAGGGGAAATTCTTTAAGATACAATGTTAAATAAAAGAAGCAAAACAAAACTATACAGTTAGTATTACTGAGCAACGTAAAGGAAGCAGAGAAAAACATTTTTAAAGAATTCACGACGAAGTATTAATCATGGTTGCCTCCGGGTAGCTGGGTTATTGGGGACTCTTCTGTTACGTTATACCTGTCCATATGTTTCCTGAAACTTTGGCAATCAGTATAAAGCAAGTGAACAAACACGAAAAAAAAGCCCAGAGAGAAAAAACGTCCCGTGCCAGAAACACGTGCGCTGGGACGCAGACAGTAGCCCCCTGAGGAGCAGTTGAGGGGACGGCCTCCCCTGAGCCTGCTTGACATGGCTGGGGGTAGAGGGGGCCTGCAGCTCCCCGGCCCGCATCTGACTCCTCTCCCAGTGTCCGTGGCCGGCCGCACGCGATGTTGACTCATCCTGTGTACATCTGACATATTTCCTTTTAATTTGTGTCAGGAATGTGCACCAACCTGTGTGTGTGAAAACGGCAGAAACAATTCGACCTCTGTACAAATTTCATATATCAGATCAGAAAGGACCAGAAGAGCAATGCTGGAAGAAGTCCATTTTTAAATCAAGCCCCTTTACCTGTCATCTTCGTCCTGCCCGGCCACCCCAGCCTTCAACCTTTCGATAAACAGGACACGGCTTGCTAGGAGACACCCTTTCCTGATTGCCAAGGAATGTCTGAGCCCCTCACACATCATTAGGAGGTCATTGAGCCGGGCCCCTGCCTTTTGCCTGGGAGCACAGGAGATCAGTCATCACTGCAGGGCCCAATAAGGAGAATTTCGATGGGCTCCCCACTCAGAGCAGACCTGGAGGTGCCTCAGACAGAAGAGCTTTCCAAGTCAGGCTGACACTGGCATTTCCCAGACAGGATCCCAGAGACCTTTTCCTCCTCTGCTTTAAAACAGACACCATCAAGATTTCTACCCCTCCAAGTGGGAAGAGAAGAATCATTTTGCAGCTAGACTACAATGAAAATATTCCCTGCAGGATGCTCTGCCCTGCTTCTGAGGGTGGAGAGAAAATTTATACACGGCGCTCTGTTACAGGATTCCTATGGCAAGGCTCAGAATACACCGCAAGACAAACTGTATCCTCGGAAACCTAACATCTCCTTTTTATTCCAACATCTCCCTGAATGGAAATAACTTCACAGAGCTGTATCTCTAAACAAAAGTAAGCACACAAACTGGGCTTTCTAGAATAGGCCCGCTCCCAAATAATTAGTCCTGCGATCAGATCAGATATCGGGGAAGGCAAGAGAACTAACATTTATTGTTTATTGTGTGCCAGGCATGGTCACTTTGCAATACATTACCTCACTGAAATTACCCCAACAAGTCTGTGAGGTTGGTGGTGCTAACATTCCCATTTTACCGATCAAGCAACTGAGGCCGAGAAAAGTAAAATTTTGCTCAAGATGATGATGTCAAGGCTACGATCAAGATTCTGATTCTAGGTCCAAAGCCTGTACTTTCTCCACTAAAATTCATGCCGAATTTTCATTTTGAAAATACGGCTGCAGGACCAGTAAGGGGGTTTCCAGTTGAGCCTTCCTACTGCAGAATTTTTAAGTGGTTCTTGCAGTTGGGCAGTTGGGAGGCAGGACAAACAACCCAACCCAAATCCTGTGTTTGTCTTAAAAGAGATTTCAGTACTCTACAAAAAAGCCAAATTTGAGGCTCTCAACTGAGGAGAACTTTGAAGTCTGAAACCTGGGGCTAAGAAGTCTTCTGTTTTTATTAATTAAAGAAGATGTTTCAAAATCATGAGATTTATCACGATGACTGGACTTCAGATGTGAAACTCAATATACACACAGACATGCATGGCTTGTCCTTTTGGGTTATTTTTGATCTTCCCTGAGGATCTGCATTTCCTCAGATGAGACCTCTCTGCTTCCTGGGCTGGCTGACATGTCTGGAGGCCCAATTTTGCAGGCCTGGGCCGCTGCTGGCCTCAGGAATTTCAAAGGCCAGGGAGAGAAGGGTGGGCAAGGTGGTTCCTACCCCCGTTTGTTCCTCTATGCCCCCAAGGCAGTAGCTGTGGGAAAGAAGGGAGGAACCCACTCTGAGCCGAAGGAGGGTCCTGGATGCGCCTGCAGGTCCCGGAGTTGACTGGTTTGACGCCCTGCCAAGTTTTGGTTTTGTTATTTTGGTAGTCATCTAACCACGTGGGCTTTAAAATGGTGCTCCCAGCTTGGGCGAGAGACATGTCCATTTGTAGCATGTGGTCAGCCTTCCGTTTCTCGCGGCCATCAAAACCTATCAGCTCTCACTCCAAGGGGCAAACCTGAACCAGATTTTCAGCCACAGGGGTCTTGGGAGGAAGATTTGTGCCTGGCCTGCCATTCTGACACAGGGTATATTATATAACAGGATTCCTACTTTCCAGGCCCTTACAACAAAGCTGTTCAGCAAAGCCTTGGCCTCAGGGCCTAAGAGGAGCAAGATAAGAAACAGCACTGTTTGGACAATGGGGGACACCCACTGAAGCTGGGGTGGTTTGGGACGGTTTCCATCAGTCATCGTGGTTCGACGTGGGTGGAGGACATTCCACAGTAGGGGGGATGTCTGAGGACAAACACGAAGGCAGGGATGTTCCTCAAGCAGAGGCAGGAGGTGGAGTCCACTGGAGTGGAGGGTCCCTCCTGAAGAATAATACCTCACGAGGTTTCTCAGAATCGGTGCCTATTTTCACATACTTATTTCCTTTTGACGGTGGGACCACAGCAATTTGTACCATGGGCAGGACAGATACTGTTGGTTCCATTCTGTAGATGAGGATCCTGAGGCCCCCGATGGGGAAATGACTTGCCTCATTCACCTTCGTTTCTTTACTTTTTTTCTCTTTACTGAAGTATAGTTGACTGTCACCTTAGTTTTTTGCCTCCCAGGGTAGTTGTGGAACCATCTGTGAAGGTCCTCAGTGAACAAACTGGCACTACAGAAATATCATGGCGGCCTGAGGCAGGCACCGAAATGGGATCGCAGGGTAGACTGGTGACTTACTTTGCTGAGATCCTAACTAGTGCTGGCTTGGGCCCCATTGTCCTACAAGGACTTCCTTGACTTTTGGCCTCATTTCCTGGCCTTGCGGCCCGTGAGGGTGGGCGTGGGGGTGGGGTTCAACACGGTTATCACTTGACCTTATCACACAAGGTGTGTCCATGGCTTGTTCCACACCTGAAACAGTGGGGGTGCCTGGGAATTGTCATTTCCTGCCTCGACATGTCCAAGTGTTTGTTTAGCCTTGACTGGTCCCACTGACTCATCATCAGCCCGGGCATGGAAACCAGGGAGGATGTAGGGAAAAGTGGAGAAGCTGTAGGAACACACAGTGGGATCAATGAGGTGTAGAAATCCTAACAATGACAATAATCCCTTACACTGCACCCTGCTTTACCCTTTACAAGGTGCTTTCACTGCCTTAATCCTCACAACACCCTTAGAGAGGAAGGCAAGGCAACTCTTACAAGTCCTGGTCTCACAGCTGAGGAAGTGAGTGCAGGGAGTTACATGAGGGGCAGAGATGAGTTTGGAGAACCCAGTCCCGCGTGCTACACCTCTGCTAGTCCAAGTGTGGGCCACTGGCCGGCACAGCAGTGTCACCTGGAAGCCTGGGAGAAATGTAGCCCCTTGCAGGCCCTGCCCCGGGCTTAATAAAGCAGAATGTGCACTTAAATCACTTCCCAGGGGGTCGTGTGCACACTAGAGTTGGAGAGAGCAGCTCATGCTGTATTCCCCTCACCCTTCCGGTGAGTATATCTGGCTCTCTCTACTCATTTAAAGACCAGGAAATTGAGGCCCAGGGAGAGGATGGGACACGGCCTGTGACAGAAGCAGGAGCAAACAGAACCTTGGTCTTGCAAAGCAGTCCTGGGCCCGCTTAATCGGGCTGACATTCAACTGCTGTGCGCCTTGCTTTTCCTCCTCCCTCCCTGCCCCACAAGTTCAACCCTCAAACCACTCTCAGCTGCCAGGCCCTTGGCCTCTCCCCTCAGTTCCCGCCCCGTGTTAAGTGTTAACACAAGTTCTAGGGCCTACGGTTAACACTCTATTAAAGCAAACAGGGAAGCTGAGACCTCCTGCAACCGGGGAAGAGCCAAGTGGGGGTGCGGAGCACCTGGGGGCCCCCTGGCACAGCTGCCGAGGGGCAGGCCTGAGCTCAGCTGTGTCTGCCCTGCCCCCCGCTCGGAGGCCCTACTGCCTTCGGGAGAGGGCCAGGGACGCCCTGCTTACCTGGGGAGGAGACGCTGCAGACGCCTTGTAAAATGCCCACTTCATTAGTAAGTGTGGAAAATGCCCAAATAACTGTGTTAAGCTGGTTATGATTTTCCCTGCACTCACTGGTCTCCCTGGGTGCCAAGTTTGGCACCTGTGGGTAAAAGCGATTCCTAGGCCATGGCTGGAGCTTGGGGCCAGGATTCCCCCTCCTCCCCCCCACCCCCCATTTCTACTCCATCGAGGCCAATCAGGATGTTATTCATTTCCCTAGCTGAGACGCAAGTTCAAAGGGGCCAGGAGAGCTCCTTGGCCTGCCCCTGTGTGAGAAATGCCAATCTTTCCCATGAGGAGGAAGCAACATATTTTGTTTCTGCTACACTCATGCAAGGAGCAGCCCAGAATGAGTGTGTGTGTGTGTGTGTGTGTGCGTGCGCACGCAGAAACCTAGCTTTTTATCTTTGGACCTATGGTACATAATGGATTCAGAGGAAGATCAGAGTCATCCATAAGGAGAGAGGCAAAAAAAAGCCAAGGCGCCAAGAGGTCCCTCGCAGGGGCCTGGAAACCTCATGTTACTATCTCAGACAGACACGGACCTGTCATCCAACCTTGAGTTAGGGCTAACAGCTGAACAAAAGAATTTCTCATTGCGCTTCATTTGAGTTTTAGAAATGCATTTAGGGTTGAAAAGCTACTTAGAAGAGCTTTCTCACATCCCTCAGACTGTTTAAAAAAAAAAAAAAGTAAATAAAAACCAAGTGTATTTGTTGTAGAAACACCTACCAAATAGCTCAAAATGAACTTGCAAATTCACCAAAACTCTCCTGGGCAAGCCATTAACCCTTTCTGGACTGGACCCCCCTTTAAAATAAAGAGGCCTGGATAAGACCACTGTAATCTTCAAAAGTAGGAAGTGACTCTTCTGTTGTCAAGATCCAAAATGGGTGGTGGTGCCCCATTTACTGAGTGAACCATCCCCCCTCCTTCTCGCCCTGCCTGTGGGGTCCACCTTCAAGGCCCAGCGGCAGTGGGCCTGTGCTCCGACTCTAGCTGCAATCCCTTCCCTCCATTTAGTACCTTCTTATATCTTATTTTAAAGACCATTGTGAGATGGGGGTAGGGGGCAGATCTCTTGGACAAATGAGGTGGTTATAAGGTCACTGAGCTCTCTATTGGTAGAAAGAACACTTGATTAAGAAGGGGAAACTGAGCGCTAGTTCTGGTGCTGGTGTGTTCTAGCAAGTCACCTCCTGGCCCCTCAGTTTTCTGCACTATAAAAGAGGAATAATAACGCTAGTTATTAGGGGCACCTGGGTGTTACAGTCGGTTAAGCATCTGACCTAGGTTTCAGCTCAGGTTATGATCTCAGCATCGTGGGATCGAGCACCACGTCAGGCTCTGAGCTCAGCGTAGAGTCTGCTTGAGATTCTCTCTCCCTCTCCCTCTGCCCCTCCTGCTCATGCTCTTTCTCTCTAAAAATAAATAAATAAAGCTTTAAAACAATAATAATGCTACTTATTATTACTGCTAGTTATTTATAATCCTCAAAATCATGCTAAGATTCAAATGACAACATGCATGATAGAGCCTTTAAGACTATGCTGTGTAACGGGTATGTAAAGTATTGATTTTACCCTTAGAAGCCAGATGGCTTTATATTGGTGGGTCTCACCATTTCCCTCCAGATCCTTTGAGACTTAAGGATACTATTTAAGCTGTTTGGCTTCTGGAGGTATGGGAATGTCCACACAGCCCAGCACACCGCTCAACCCTAAAATGGGAATGTGAAGTTACCCATCGTGTCTTCACTGGAGCTTTAATGCTGCACAAGACACTTAACTGCTACCCTTCAGGGTCAAACAGAGCTTACCCTGAACTTATTCTGATGTCCCAGAGATATCGAAGGACCAACAGCCTGCAGCACAGATCTTGCCACATAATAGGTGCCTAATGGGGGTGCCTGGGTGGCTCAGTCGGTTGAACGTCTGACTCTTGATTTCAGCTGGGGTCCTGGTCTCGGGGTTGTGGGATCGAGCCCCGCGTCAAGTCCCACGCTCAGCGCAGAGTCTGCTTGTCCCACTCCCTTGTCCTCTGCCCCTTCCCCTGCTCACACACTCTCTCTAAAGTAAATAAATAAAATCTTAAAAAAAAAAAGGTGCCTAATAAATGTTTATTGAGTGAATGAAGAACAAACCTTCACTATATTTTGATCTGAAGTGTGTGTCGTGGGTCTGACAAGGAGCGCATAACGGCATTCCCCAGCCACCTGACCTCCAGGCGGCAATGCCCTTACATCTCTCCTTCTGAAATAACTCCAGAAAGAAGGGGTCCCTATGCTCCTTGGAGACACACTCCTTAGTATTCTCCTCAGCAGGTACCTTCTCCCTATAATATTAAAAGAAGTATAATTAATATCTCTACTTATCCTGGAAAGATAATGTCCCAAGATCAAGTGCTTAGGAAATATTATTTATCCTGACTATTCATTCATGACAATGTTTGAATTTCATAGATTTGCAATTTCACAGACCCTCTGAACCACATGTATGCCTAATAAAACACCTTTAGTAGAGACAAAGCCCTTATTTACAAAATTGATCCTGAGAACAGTTGTATTAAACATGCCTCATGATGAGGGACTGTGGGCAGTGTTAGGTCTCAAACATATAAACAGGTAGAGCCAGCTCTGGCCTTGGCAATCACCTAAAAATGTCTTCTTTGTCTACAGATGGTGCCTCTTCCAAACTTCTTTAATAGCTTTTTAACATATGGTGGGTTTTCTTTCTTTTTCTTTTTCTTTTTTTTAAATGCTGGATCACATTCAGGCCCGTTATTCCACAAAATGGAGCAGCCAATCAGACTGTCTACACCAGAGGGCAGTGAGGATGCTCTAGTCCAATAGCTTTCAGAAAAGCAGTGCTAGACCAATTATCTGTCTAAATGCAGGATTTCCACTGGACTCCTGAATACTCAGACAGTTGCTCAGAAGCTCTCCTTTAGATCAGTGGGTGAGCACTTCCATCTCCATGAATCTGAGGAGAGCCACAGAACCAGTGGCTCAAAGGATGGGGACTCTCCAGAACTTTAGGTGGAATCTGTCTGTGTGTCGGGTGGGAGGAGGAGGTGTGGTTTGTATAGTTGGAAAGAGCTCCCAGGTTATTAATCAACAACCTCTGATCTGGAGCCTCATTCCCAGATTTTCCTAATGGGAAGAATCACCTGGGGTGCCTATGGAATGAACGGATTCTCAGGCCCTTCTCCAAGATGATCCAGTGCAGCGGTTCTGGGATAAGGTCTGATTCTTACCTGGGAATTTGGGGAACCACTGCTCTAGAGCAGCAACCCCTCAAATCCAGCCTTATGGAAAAAGTGTCCATCCTCCCCGATCGTGGTAGCTCAGCCATAATCACGTGGTCCCCTGCGGCAATCCAGATACCACGAAGGACAGCCGACTGTGCTGGCAAATTGCTGACTACTCCCCATGCTTCCTCCTCCTTCCCTGACCACCCCCAAGTCTCTCCCGAAGCCTAGCTTTGTTCCCTTGCTCCTCAAATGGTCATGCTTCTAAGGGTTCCACCCTTCACCCCCTTCTCTTCCTTCTCTGTACCTTTCACCTGGGTGAACTCATCCATTCCCATAGTTACAACTACCACTGACCTCCCCCACTGCACTTCTGACCCGGTTCTCTCCAGGCCTCTGAATCCACTCATGTCAGACCAAACGTACTCCACAGGCACCTCCGACTCACTATGTCCAAAGCAAATTCGTCGCCTGACTTCTCTGAAACTTCTTCCTTCTCAAGATTCCCTAAGTGAATGGCAACACTGTCTTCTCAGTGGCCTACCCAGACTCCCCCCTTTCCTCACCCCTACTGATCAGGAAGTCCTGTGGATTTTACTTCCTAAGCCCTGTCCAATCTGTCCCCTACTCCACTGCCACTGAGCTTAGGCCCTCCTCAGTTCCCATTGGGATTATTCCAACAATCTTTATACCAGTCTTTCTGTCCCTTAATATAGCTTCTCTTCACTTAAGTCTTCTTAGTGCCACCAGAGTGACTTTTCCTACAATGCGAATCTGAACATTTTACTCGTTTATCCTCAGGATAAAGCCCGATCTTCTTAGCACCACCGTCTATCATCCAGCCCTGGCCAGCTCTCCAGACTCTGTGCACACCATGCCCCACCTTGTGCTTTGCCCTTGTGCCTCTGAATGGGCTGCTCCCTCTGCCTGGAATGTTCTTCTGCCCTAGCTAAGTCCTATTCATCCTTGAAGACTTAGATCAGCTGGGGGAGTCTACCACCCTCCTTCTCGGTCTGACTTAGGTCTTCCAATAGGCCCCCCACAACACCCTGGCTTACCTTCCACATAGCACCCTGGTCTAGTCAACTCCACAACAAACACTTACTGGGTGTCTGTTACGGTCCAGCCACTGTGCTGGGTGCTGGCAGTTTTGGAAAAGGGGACAGACTGCAAAAAGGAACAATAACGTATTTTCTGGTCTATCTTTCTCACTAGATTGTAGGTTCCTGGAGGGAAGGATCTGCTGCTGTTTTGTTTTGTTTTGTTTTGTTTCAATCTCTGTATTCCAAATGTACAACATGTTGCCTCAGTTCTTGGCACTTAGCAGGAAGGAAAGAAGGGAAGGAAGAAACTGAGGTTGTCTAGCCTGGAGAAGAGATTAAGAGAGCCAAGATTCTAGTACTCAAATATCTGAAGCACAACTTTATGGAAAAGGGAATAGATTTATTTATTCATTTTGTGGCCCCAGGGGCCACACAGGACACACAGAGAAAAGACAACGGGCTGGTGTATTTCAGACCAACATGAGAGGAAGCACCAACTGACAGGACAAGCTGCCTCATACTGCGGACTCAAGACTCAACCCACGCGCGCTCTCCTCCATGAAGCCTTCCGGGGGTCCTCCGGGCAGGGAACGGTCCCTCTGCTCTATCCCCACAGCAGCTGCACAGCCTCTAGCATGCGTACGTGACTGCAGTGACCCATTCTCCTGACTTCCCCTCAGCTTTGTGCTGTGAGTGTTTTGCCTTATTTTTGTATTCATGTTGCCTTAAGACGCAGTACAGGAGATGGTTAAAGGCTCAGGCTTTAGGGCTCTTACACTTAATAGTTGCATAATGTTGGGCAAATTAGTCACCTCTCCTGGTTCAATGAATACCTCTTTAAAAGGGACTAATAAAAAATATGAAGGCTTAAACGAATGTGCTCAGCACCGTGCCTGACACACAGTAAATGCTTACATGCACTACCATCCTGCTGGTCCTCATCACGACTTGGTGAAGTTCCTCCGTTTCACAAAGAAGCTGAGGTATAAAGAGACTTCTCATCAGGCCACAGAGCTGGACCCTGGGGCCAGGATTTTGGACATCTCAGATAGTATATTTCTTCCAGGCTTAAACTTTTAAAGAAAGTTTTCGCCCTGATTTTTCAATCATGCTGAAATGCGCTGACAATAAAAGAAAGTACTTTCTTCTACAACGGAATACAAATGTTCTTTGTGAATTCCATCACCTCTTCCAAAGGAATTATCTTATCAATCAGGACAGAAGCTCAGAGCTCACAGGGGCTGTCGAGAACAGTGCTTCTCGTCCTTTTCACTCTATAGACCCTCTAAATCAATCCCTTGACTTCAAAGAAGATTATGGCACGACACCACCATCACCTTCTAAGTAACAATCACTCCAGCTAAATGCTGAGAAAGTGTGATGCTCAGGTGCATGACCAAACCAATACTCCTGGCCTCACAATTCACTGACCTCCACACACCAATGACTTCACCTTCATTCCTGCAACTCACTCACCTGCAACTTGCAATTGCCTCTTCTGGTATTTGAAGCAAGAAATCCCACATCTTGATCATGAAACTTCCTATTTTTTCTATCTCCCTCATTTCCTATTCTTCCTAATGATGCTTTTCCACCTCATTGAGCCTGCTAGCCCCTGGAGCCCTTCCCTATCATCCCAATCTACTGGTTCCCTCCTGGTGACACTTCTTCACTGTCCATCCCAGTATTCAGGTTCATAAGTCCAATAACACCCTCAACCCCCGCCTCCCCCCCCACCCCCCGCCACCGCCATCACTGCTCCCCCCATCAACCTGCCCCTCCTGCTTTCCCAAACGCATCCAAGATGATCTATCCACCATCCAGCCACCTGATTCCTCTGCTCCCGCTCCTGGGCTGCTGGGCTGTGCTGGAGAAAACCTCATACTTGCATCCACTGGCACCATGACAAATGTACCAGCTAGGCCCTCCCTGCTTCTCAGCCACCGCACCGCCCCCCACCCCACCCCGCCCAACCCATTCATTCCTGGTCAGCTCCCTCCCGTATTTCCTCTTCTTCTCAACCCCCCCAAACCTGTCACAACTCTCTCCCGCATTCTCAGCAGATGACCTGCCAACTGATGGCCTTTGGGATTTCCTTTTTAGTTCTTTCTTTTAAAGATTCAGAAGTCCACGTATCTTAAAAGCAGCCATGTAGGAGTGACAAGCACAGATCACAGCCCCTGAAGAATCACCCAGTCAGCCAGTCAGGCATACTGGAAGTGGAGTCTCCTCTGATAAGAGAAAGCAGCCAAGGGGGTGTCGGCTGGGAACCAGAGAACCGCTCTTCCCGCCTTTAGTTCCCCACTGAATACATTCTGGAAGGTTTTTGATTTTGCCCTTGTCACTTCTATTCTCCATCAGAGAGCTGCTGTTGTGTGAGGCTGAGTGGCATCCTGAGGTGGGAGAAAAAGATGATTAGAGCAGGCGAGTGAGCCCGTGCCCAGGCGGATGGCTTATAATCCAGAAACGACCCTGTACTGCCTCCAAATGAGAAGGGACAGGGCAGTCAGCATTCCTGTGAGAGCTGCAGGCTCGCGCATGCGTGTGGATGGGTGTCTATTTCAGAGTTATCCCAGAAGTGAGGAAATACCTGTCCAAAGGGGCAGAAAGGTGCGAGAGTGACGCCTCCACGCCTTGCCATGGTTGCCAGGCCTCGTGACGACCTGGCCCTGGTTCACGCGTCCAGGCTCATCTCTCCCCCTCCTTCCCTGTGCCTTGCAGGAAACATGAGGAACCTCATTCTGTTCCTCCAGTGGACTATGCTCCCTTTCATCTCTGGGCCTTTACATCTTTGTCTTGCTCACCCCTTGA